TATAAGGTTATACATTTTTATTACAAATTATTTCTAATTGAGTTAACACAAGATCGTAAAGCAATTTTCTTTAAGCTACATCATACAGCTTTAACTTTTCTCCAAGTTCAAGGCTCAGTTTCTTAGTATTGTCTCTGTTTCGAGAGAGGCACAATCAATGAAGTATTTATGTTTACTTAATAACCCACAAATATGCAAGCTTAAGTGGGAATAATTTTTCTTTCTGTCAACTTTATAAAGCCTCCTTCTGTCAAGTAATGCCTTCTGCCACCAGTCTCAGTGGCTGCTACGTCTATTCCAAAGGAAACATCTAGTTTGAAATAAATTTTTAAATCTGACTCCAAAGCTCTCCAGCTCCAACACACTTGAAACACATTACCTGTAACCACAAATACCGTCTGAGGAATACCTCAGGCAAGTCAGCATGGCCAATGAAGTAAGAAATAAAGTCAGTGAGTAGAGGCAGGTCTTCTGACTTCCTTGGTGGGTCAGTCTGAAATTGCTGACTGACACTCAACTACCCCAAAATATTCAAAGCTAAGGATGCCACATTTTCTTGTGCTCACCATTCTCTTTATGCTCCCAAAAGTACATTACAAAGAGAAACCATACCAGTCAAATCACACTTTATATTCCTTTTTAGATCCTATCTCTGAAAAAGCCTGCTTCAAAAAAATGCCAGAGCCTCAAGATTCAATTTGACAGGGACTGAGTTCTGCAAGGTCTTTGCAGAGCTCACTAGGATAAGTATTACTCCAGTAGACACAGCTTAGAGGAAAAAAAAAATGCTATTAGTAGTACACGGGTATTCCTAAAGCTGTGAAGAAAGTGATCTGCTATCAAACAGTATGGAACAAAATGCACCCAAACCCCAATGCTATTTCATACTTAGTAAGTCAGTCTTCGTGTAAAAAATATTCTAGGAAAACCTTGCACTAAGTAATTCAGAATTTAACGTTAAGTTAAATGAAAGGCTAAATTAAGAACAGCCTTGTAAGATTTTTAAGTCAAGACAGTGAACTCCTAGACATTAGTTTCCTAATTAGTAGACTGAATTACTCATTGAATAGTAAAAAAGAAAATAAAATTCAACCCACCCCTCATGCTGAAAAAAAGCCCTTACATTCCAAACTTCCCTAAGGTTAAAAACACAAGGTATTTGCAATTATTAATAAAGTTGAAGAGGATGAAAATTGACACAGGAATGGTAAGAAATGTAAAGAACCATAAACAAACAACTGAGATTAACTGTTTAAAATGTTCTGGTGAATGAGGAACTACCAGGGAATCTGGGTATAGCAGGAGTATGCTCATAAAGCATAATGGTATTACAATAAGAAGCAGTACCAAAACGAAGAGAATTATACTATCAGATCGGAAGGAGATGACCTTGGGGACTGAACAATCTTTTACCAGCCAAGAGAGAAATGTTTCAGCCTCACCTCTAAGACAAACATTGACACAAGAGCTGTTTTCACAATCACATACTTTGATGACTAATTTGGTTGTCTTGGGACCTGTTAACTGACTATGACTTCACATAAAGTGATCCTGGAGCAGGGGGAGGGAAGGAGAAAGCAAAAGGAACATACCAGTAACTGTGGCTCCCGGTTTTCATCTACTGGAGGAAGACCTGTTATTATTTCTAGTAAGACCTAGGAGAAAAAAAAAAAAAAATCAGAAGAGAAAAATGAAGCCTAGAATAATCCTTAGCATATACACCACTTGCAAAAAGGAGCATGACCCCAGTCTTTCAAACAAATGCTCACAGGATCTGTACTTGTTCAAAGATAGCTCTCTGTACAACTGACTGTTGTTCCTACCTTTGTTTTCATTAGCTGTTATTCGCAGTGTGGCATATGAATTTCAACGCAAGTTTTTAACACCCTACATTGTGTTGCTTCAAAGCAAGACTGAAGGATCTCCAAAGTATTAACAGTATCTGGCCCATCTCCCCATGAAACCAAATGCCACGATGGAAGTCGTCAATAGTGATTAGGGTCTTGGATCTATTCAGAAGGGATTCATTATTCTCCCAAATATTAAGCTCATGTCTTTTTTGGACTCAGCTTTAAGGCACATCCCATACGCACAGCACACTTTTGGTGCTTAAAAACAGTAAACCACACTTTATTTTGGAACATTTTCTTTAAAAAAATTTTTTTTTCCAGCCTGAGTTACATTTTTGTGCAATACTATGCAAGAAGAAACAATATTCCACATTACTCAAACTACATTTAGCTCGCACTTGGAATGTTCTTTACTCTGGTCTTTCACATGCAAATTTACATTTTAACATAATTATCATAATCATCAGCAAATTCAATGTTTTAATCAACTTATTCAAATTATTTTCAACCAAAGTTTAGAAACACTATCTTAGGAGCACATCTATTAGGAAAAGGAGAAATGATAGATCAGAGCGGACTATTTCATTTCATATATTCTTGATTTTGTATACTTTTATCATTTACAAAAAAAAGTCATATACTGCTTCCCACGTTCTACTTACCACTCCAAAACTGAAGATATCAGATTTCGGCGTTATCTCTCCCCGCAGAGCTTCAGGTGCCATATAGGCTGCTGTTCCAACAATTCTTTCAGTCATGATTGTCTGTGTGAATGTTACAGATGCTCTTGCAAGTCCAAAGTCAGAAATTTTGGGCATGTATGTATCAGTTAATAAGATATTTGCACTGGGGGAGAGGGGAGGAAAAAAAAAGAAAGAGAAGAAAATTTTCCAAACCAGTACAGTAATTAGGTTTTATAACAGACTAGTAACTTTAATAACCAAATGCAAACTATTTTGACTGTTTCTTGAAATCTAAGATATTTATTTGTTAGTCGTATAACAAAAAATGCAAGAGTTAATTTTGTTGGAAATTGCTCAATTTCAAAATGAATTGCTCTAAATAAATCAAGAACTGGCTGCCAGGACCCACCCGTGTTTTCTCTTGTGCGTGCATGCATTAAAAACAAAACAAAACAAAAATCCAAACAAGGAAAAAACCAAACACCGCCCCCCACCCCCAAATCCTACAAATAGAAAAAATTCTTCTAAGAGGCCAGTCATGTTACACCCATGTTTTGGATGCGAATACCTTTTCTTTAAGAAGGATTATAGAAAATACTTAGCTCTGAACAACTGGTACTGGATCACCACGCAATTCTTAACTGTCTAATTCTCTATACTCAGAACTAACAAAAGCAGGTTTTTATACCTATTATCTAATAGGTCAACCATTACAAAGTCACATGCCAAATGAATACTAATACTCTTATTCTTCTCCTGGAGGAGAAACAGAAAATTTACTAATCCCAGAATAATGTATGTGCTGTGTTTCCACTTGATCTCCAGCTTTTACTTCCCTTAAAAAACCCTGAAGAACGAAGCTGATCTAAGAGACATTAACATTTTCATAAACTACTCAGCGGGATAAATTACAGCATAAATCTTCTACTGTTTTTTAAACTTGTAGCACTTGGAGCCATTTTAAAATGCTTGATTTAACATTTCTGTAATCCTCCTCATTTTCCGACCCCCTTAATAGCACCATAGGAAAACCACATAGCCAGCTATAACATGTAACACTTAACTAGAAACTTTTATTTTTAACTTCCCCTTCTTGTTCACCAAAGCTTCTCAACAAAATTAACAAAGCTGTAAGTTACAACAAACCACTTTGTATTGGAACTGCTGTAAATAGTGTTAAATGTAAGACCACTGCAAAAGGACAAACACTAGTCAAGGCACCATCCACCAACTGGTGTCATATTTAAGCTCAACTTCTAGGAGAAGGAAGAGGAGGATCACAACTTCATAAATCTGAGTTTCTTATCAACTTAAGTCCAAAGAGTGGTCACTCTTTTGATACACCACAAAGGGCACAAGAGAAGCAAGTTTTACTGCAACTGTTAAGCTTCAAGAGATAAATTATTTCCTGGGCATAACCGAGCCAAAAACCTATAGATAGCTCTGAGAACGCCCATTCAATCATGTCCCCTGTAGCCTACAGAGAAGCTGTTCTAGTGCATGCGTGGTTACAAATTGTCTCCACATGTCATAGCATAATGAAGAGCAAAGCAAACCTTAGATGTCCCTTCAACTAAGTTTTACTTGGGAGTGGCAGCACTATTAATACCACCAACCAAACTTACAAAACTATTCCCACTGCAACTGCAAGAGGTTGCAAAATGGAATCCAAACGAAAGAAAAAAACAAACCAAAACCCAATCCTGGAATAAGATCAACTCACAGCAGTTAGAAGGGTAGAGTAGCATAAGGTAAAAAACGTGTCCCTTCCAGGCATTACACTTGTCCAGAGGCTTAAGCAGGGAAGAAAGAAGAAACACAAGTTGTCAAAGCAGCAAGCACATTTTATGCGGCACCTGAAGCAAAAACTTTCCTTACAAGCTGGAAGGTCACAAAACCAAAATGGCCTACATTTAGCAGAGTTGCCAGAAGCCAAAAAGCTATTGAAGCATTCATCCATGACACCCAGCAGTCAGTTGCTCCTTCTTAACCCACACGAGGAGTAAGGCATCTGAGGCTTTTCTTCAAAGATTTAGACTGCGTTGGTATTTAAAAAAAAAAAAAAAACACAACAAACTGAGGTGAGACCTTATCACTCTCTACAACTCCCTGAAAGGAGGCTGTAGTGAGGTGGGTATTGGTCTCTCCTCCAAATAACAAGCGATAGGATGAGAGGAAATGGCCTCAAGTTGAACCAGGGGAGGTTTAGATTGGACATTAGGAAAAAAATTCTTCACTGAAAGGGTTGTCAAGCATTGGAACAGGCTGTCCAGTGAAGTGGTCAAGTCCCCATCCCTGGAGATATTTAAAAGATGGGTAGACAAGGAGCTTATAGACATGGTTTAGTAGTAGACAGGTACAGTTGGACTCAATGATCTTAAAGGTCTTTTCCAACCAAATGATTCTATGATAAAGTGTAGCAAGGGGGGGGGGAACAAAACAGAAAAAAAAACTGAAAAAAACCCCAAACCCTACAATAAAACTCCCACCTTTTCTGAGCTCTGATATCCCTGGAAAAATTTCTGGTATAATAAACAAATGAACATACATTATCCTTGAAGAACCCTGAACTTCATAAACCTGACTGAAGTAATTTTACTGTCATAATAAAGAGCAGTAAATCAAAGGAGACACTCTGAAGAAATGTTCTAGCAAAAAGAAAAAAAAAAAGGTGGGTCTTCATCTGAAAAATTCCCCATTTAAGAGTCATTATGTTCTTTCACAGCAACTTTTTCATTACCAGCAGCTGTGAAAGAACAGAACTTCTGGGTGTCCTTGCAGCACTCAAATAACTATTTGATAGTAACAGATTACAATAGCCTCATAATTATCTTTAGAAGTCTGTACTGGTCATGTCCTTGTGGCACAGACAAGATTATGGTGATGGATGTCACTTGCAGAAAAGATTGTGCCCTTGACTGAAGCAATGCTTCTTGCAGTTTATTCTCTCTAAAATGACTTTAGCAGGGGGAAAAAGAAAAAAGATGGGGGAAAAAAAACCAGAGGAAAAAGGGAAAATGCAGCCAGCGATAGTCAGCAGCTTTTACCTTTTAATATCTCTGTGAATATGACTATTTTCATGCAAAAAGTTGATGCCATTTGCTGTACCTTGAACAATTTTACATCTTGTATTCCAAGAAATTGGTGGAGTATCATCCTTGAATAAGAAGGGAGAAAGGCAAGTACAAAGGTGAAACTCTAATATATATATATGCTCACATAGAACAAACCAAAACATATAAAACGCCCACAATCCAACTTCTTGTTATGTTTTGTGGTTTTCAAGTAAATCATTAAAAAGACTAATAGCATATATTTCACTTGGACAGAAATACATGCATTTGTCACATTCAGTTCTTCCCCTTGCCTTTTGCCTTAGATTAATTCACCCATTGCAAAAAGCATTCTTGATAATATGTGACTCTGACCCTACAAGGCCAGCTGCACTGCAAAGAACTACCTGTATCTATCACATCTTCCAAATTGTATTGGCACTGATACCAGAGCCTTTTTACCCAAAGCAAATAATTCAAAGCAATCAACAGTTTTTACTAACAATGAGAAGTCAGTCTTCCAGTGGTTTTGGATTTACCACTTCTCAAGAGTTTAGCTTGATGCACATTACTAACTAGACCTCGCAAGTGAGGGCGCCTACATTTCAAAACCACTTCTTAATCTTGTCAGTGGCCAAGGGAAGAGGATTAGAGTATCTCATCATTCTACCACCTCCCTCATCTGCTCCTCAAAGCCCAGTCAACAAGATGACATAAGCAAGTCTATGCCTCAAACTCATCTAGTGAAGTCACAAAATTAAGTTATCAGCAAGAACACACATTCAGTATGCACATTCCTCGCTTATTCGACTTTCTGATTTACAGATTTAGATTCTTTATGATTTATAAGTTGGTCTCTTCCTTGTAAAGGCCTCAGTAATTTTACTTTAGCTTTCAATTACCACCAATCTTCTAAGCTCACTTGATGATAATGGCTAAAATGACATGGCCGAACATTTTCATGTACAACCTTGTCAAGCACTGCTCATTTCTACAGATAAGCTCGCGCTACCTTAAGTAAAACTTAGTCTCTCTTCTGCACTGATTCAGTTTAAAACACGTAAAACAATTGCAAATGTGTGCAAGCAAGTCATCCAAACCAATCTGAGACAGCAGTGCTATCAAACATATCAAGTACTTTCCCCAACCACTGCTACTCATTCTCATCCTACCACCACTGCTTTCCTGTTGGGGTAGAAGTACTTCTGCAGCCTTACAGAGGAAATGTGAATATTAAAAATTTTTTTCATCGAGTATTTTTTCAGTCTGATCAGTTCCCTAACCTAGCTCTTTTCTGACTACTAAATGCTTGAGCCAGTACAACAGGAAATCAGTGCAGAAAAAAGCAAGATATAATTTTTTATGTCTGGGACCATGGGGGGTTAAAGTAGCACCAGGTTAAGATGTTTACCAGATTACAACCTCATTTGCTTAGTATAAAGCAGATTTTTGAACTCCTTCAACAAGCTAACATGGACATTCATCTACTAGGTTAAGTCTGGCTTAAGTGTTGATATCACTCCAACAAGCAACTGTTTGTCCTTCATACGCAGAGTTGCCTCACCAAAACCAAAGCAACTTATTATTTATTAAATGCCAAGGCTAGAAGATACGTCATTTGATAAAAACAGAAGAAAGCATTGCATTTACACAAAATACTAACTAAAAACCCCAGTATTTCCCGTTTATTTGGGCACTTCAGAAAGAGATACGCAGCCTATGAACACTGTGTTATAATCACTATCACAAAGGCAATGAAAGGGCAATTTCACAATGCAGAATCTCAAGAACCTGGAACAATACTGCAGCACCCTCTGCTCCGCTCCACGCAGGCACAGCCAGCCCAAGCTCCTGTGCCACTTCAGGTACTACTAGTACATGACATGGTACTGTCAGCCTGCTTTGACTTTAATGTGTCTACAACATTTGTATAAAATGTTATCGGAAGAATAGTCGTTACCATGTTTGTCTCCTAGAACACAGAAATAAGTAGGCCATCACAGTTCAGTACTGTTTCAAAGACACTTCATAGGTACCCATACTACCCATACCCATACACATACAGCAAAGACAACCGGAAGCTGGAAAAGATTTTACTTACCAGACAAGCAAGTCTATCAAGCAATGAACCGTTGGGCATGTATTCGTACACCAGACATGGCTGAGCACCATCACTTGAGAAACCAAGTAATTCTACTAGATTCTCATGCTGACACCTATAGCAAAAAACCGTTATGCATATATGCTCTGAAAGACTCACAACATTTGAGGAAAATACAAATCAGAGGGAACTTGATTCCCAATTACTTGTTTCAGCCCTACTGCACATAGCCAGGTTTCTGCAATGGTGCTTTGAAACAGACAAAATACAGTCATGTTGTATATGAAACACTCTCACTGAACATGAAAATCATTATGCTAGAAAGACAAAAATAAGGGATCACACTAGCTAACTTGTTATCTGCCAACTTAGATACCCAAAAAAGGCTTTAATGACATCGTATAACACTGTACTCACTTTGCCATCATTTTTATTTCTTGATTAAATTGCTGTTTCAAGTCTTGAACACTGACATCAACCATCTACAAAATGAAGTATTTGACGTTAATATCACTGGCCATATTCAAATGCACAGTTGGTCATTAAAAAAAAAATCAGAATTGTAAGCCTTTCTTTAGGTTAGTTACATACAACTAACAACTACTTAACTGTTTACAATATTTCTTTTTTTACTCAACTCAAAAATAAAGTATCAGAACATGATTTTTAATTCCATGGAACACAATATTAATGGACAAATGGATTGTGTTTCAGTACAGTCACCAACTTACTTATTTTATTTCACTGCAGTTACCCATAAATAGCACCTACTCATTCCAAAATTAATTATTCACACAAACCATTGGTTATGAAGACCAAAATTCTGTGGCGATATCCATTTAGCTTGTGAATCGTTCATCTGATTCTGAAATGGAAACCTCCCTAGCACCCCTTCCCTTCTGTCACTTCTTGCGGGCAGGGGAGGGAAGGGAAGGGAACTGCAGGAGCACTCTGCTCTTCCAGACAACTTGCCTGAGCTACTCAAAGGCAAGACTTCATCTCCGGTGACTGTGCCAACTCACACCACTCGCGGGACTACAGGATAAGGGTCTCAACCCAACTAATGTTTAACATAGTGTCACTTTTTGAAGCGTATCATCCAACCCCTTCCACAGATAAACAAGGTCTATAGTACAATATACAGAGTCATTAAAAAGAAAATGCCCAGGACAACTCACAGCAACGAGCTTCTTGACAGCCACATTTCTGCCATTGATGTAGCCTTTGAACACAATGCCAAAGCCCCCTTCTCCCAGCTTATTACCTCCAGCTGATTCTGGTCGCGCATCAAAATTATTTGTAACACTTTCCAAGTCATGAAACAGAAAATTACGGAAATCTGAAAGACATATTTACCATTTAGCACAACTACATTTTCACTTAAGAACAAGTGTATTTGAATAGATTATCTGCTTCAGTTCTATTAAACCAAAAACTTGCTGCCATGAAGATCCTGACATAGTGGAACCCTACTTCCAGCTCTGTGATGAAGATACCAGAAAAAAAAATGAAATACATTATATATATATAATTAGCTATGCATAGTTTTCTTCACAGCTAGCACTGTAGCAGCCTTCTGATTGTATTTTTTGTTAATACTCGTAATACAGGTAACAGAAATTAAATGTGCAGCAGATCACAGAGCGCGCCACACTGTGTCAGATGTAAAAATATTTCTAGATCACATCATGTTTCTGGCAGCAATTCAGAAGTGGACCTTTAGGAAGGAAGAGACTAAACCATGTACTTTCCCAGAATGCTTTCTTTAGTCATCTTTTCTCTGACATTGTCACTTCTGACATGTAAAATCCAGCTTTAAAACACAAGGTGCTAAAAAGTCTACAAAATCAGTATTGAAAAAGAGCAACAGGATTATGTGTAGCACAAAATAAGTTTCAATTTAATTATCAGTCAACATTTCCACCAGAGTAGCTGCCTTACCTGGCAAGGTGCATCTCGCATTCAGACATCTTATTACCCAAGCTAAATTCAGAGCCACACAGAACAAGAGCAAAAGCAAGACGCCTTTTCCCATAGATGCACAGTGATGGGAATATAGCCATTACTCTAACGCACTGTTCTGATTATTTCACACGGGGTGAAGGACAGATCAGCAAAAAAGATTGTACTTAATTCTATCAAACTAAGCGCCTACCTGTGTTACTAGATTGTGAGCTGCTATTTTCTTGACTTAAGTAGGGAGGAGCTAAATGTTGCTTCTCAGTACTCTGAGCTAAAACAGGCTTTACAGATGCCACTTCTTTTTCCTGTATAGGCAGTTGTTTCTCATGTATAGGCAAGGTTTCCTGTGAAGAAAGAGGTAATGTAACTTCTTGTGCCATCCTTACAGTTTCTGAAAATGGAATTTAGAAAAAGCATTAACTACATTAGGAAACAGAAAAAAACCAAGTAACATTAATACCAGTATTTACTAAAATTGAGAGACACCTAAGTGTCATGAGAAGGTTATATTCTGCCACCATGTGTAAGCTGCAGAACTCTTATTTAAACTTGAAACTCTTGTTTAAACTGTTATTACAGATAATGGAAAATATATCCACTTTTGGTTATTTTGACCTAATCCTTTCTGATTTTCAAGTTACTGCGAAACTCTTTAGCATCTTAGAAAACTGAGAACACAGTACAAAACGTGAAAGAGTAACAGTTACCTGGAAGCAAGAGGCTTGCTGGTGCTAGGAATTGATTCCTAATCAGCAGATCCACAAGATCACCAACTGTACAGTTTGTTGTTCCCCAGTCATAAAGTAATTCACATGTGGGGCTCTTTCCCATTTGTACAAATGCCTCAAATCTCCTTAAAAGATAAATATAGACCAACATTAAAAAAAACCCAAGTGATCTCGAGAATCATGAAGAACGTAAAGAGATTAAAAGTAAATGACCTAAAAAAATATTTTAAAAAATTCTGAATGTATAGAAGTGTAATGCAGCTAAAAAACTCTAAAAAAAATTCAAACTTGGGAGGGGAAATATGCAAAATATGAGAAAAACTAAGGGAAAAATATGCATACGTGACTTCAAGATTTTGTCCAGGACTCATAATATGTGGGACTAACAGAGAAGAGAATGTCAACAAGAGACAGAGGGCAAGTAAGAGCCAGATCACATGGAAAAAAAATTTAAGCATTTTCCATCCATTTGGCATTCACACTTTACTTTGAATATTGCAAGATGGGCATTAAGCAGAAATTGAGATCCATTACTCTGACTGATTTACTATTATTATAGAAAGACAAATGAAGATTTAATGCTAACATCACCAGAAAGGCTGGAAACCCAAGAGGATACATTGGGTATTTAAAAATCTCATAACCTTTGAAATAGCTTATGGATTCAACAAGCCCTTCAAGGAACAAGGTGCTCATAAAAAACTGCTGATATTATTTCTAAATTAAACTTATTAGTTTTAGGTCTTGGGCTCCACACACTTGTCGGACATTTTCTTGGGAACAGTGAACTAGGAGTTACAATCCAGTTGCCTCTTGTGCGAAGATACACAATTAAGTCAATGTTTACTAGTCTCTAGGGTATAGAAAGTTACACATATGCCCGTGGCCCTAATTAATTCTAATTTCCTTAGTCAATTTTCTTTCGCTATAGCTTGTCTGAAAATTGAACTGCAGAACAATTAAGAGTAATTACCTTGAGTTCCCCAAGGCAACGGTACTGTAAGATGAGTTCTTAAGTACCCGTCAGCACGCGAACTGTGACAAGTTACAGGAATGGGATGGACAATGGTATGGGATGGACTATGGTATTTATATTAAACGGTTAATAAACATGATCACGTTCCAAGACTTCTATATCGGACCTTATATGCATTTGGTTGTATCTGCTGTCACCGGAGGGATTGGTTATATCAACTGCTAATTTCTTCCACCCTTCTTGCGGATCGATGAAATCTGCCAGCTGCCTCATGAGCCCGTAGCTAATGCAGCGGACGTACGTCGAAGGCGTTAGGGGCTTGCTCATCCTCACCTCCTGAGGAACACAAACGGCGCC